CTTGCCAGAATAATAGTTATTCAGTAGCATATACCGAATGAATGGAGAAAATGAATGAACTACATTTAAATCTAGTTTCTCTGGATGCAATTATTACAGACAGAAACATTCAATCACAATATTCTTTCAGAGCATGAAGAGATCATAGATCCTGACAGCAGAGACAACTAAGATAAGGCACAGAGCAATGCAAAGACTTACCCAGGGTCACAGAAGGCTGGGTGTCAGAGGCAGAGGTAAGTTGAGCCTACGTCACACACTTCCATTCATCCCACTAAAGCTACTTGTTTAACAGTTCTTTGGCAAATTGTCAAGCGTTTCTTCCTTTTGAATCCCTGCCACAGAATTCACGTGATGTCTAACTTGACCACCCATCCCCTTCTACTTTTTCATGGCTCAGACTTTGTTCTAATCTCAGAGGTCAGCCAGTCCTTGGGTATTCCAATTCTGTTGTTCTGTAGAGAAGCATTCCTAGAAAAATTCTTCCTCCCTAGAGAGCCAGGTTTCCATCTGCCTGTCCCTGGCCTAATTTGGGGACTGGATAGAACACGGTCCATTTTATTTTTAAATTGTTTTTAAAAGCACATCCTCCAGCTAGCGTTATGCCCTTTGTGGTGGGGAGGATGCACCCTGTCCTAGAGTCAGCATCAGGATCCCATGCAAATAAACCTATCTGCACACCTGCCATCTTCTTTCCGCCAGTTCCCCTCGTCTTGTTCTCTGAACTGCTACGTTTAGCCCTCCTCCCCCTTCTCTTCTTTGCTGATGACTGTTTTTAAGATATTCACCTATCAACTAGGAACTGAAGTGAGCGGAATCTTAATGAGCTTGTCAAAGTCCTGTGTTTGCTGCTGTTGTTTTTCGAAGTCCTGCTAACAGCTGGAGGCTGAGTGAATGACAGCTTTTTGCACCTAGGAGATGACAGAGTGGCTGGGAATTGACCCATCTCTGTCCAAGGGAGTTGGAGATGCCCTCAACTCCACCCGAACAGTTATGGGCAAGAGCTCTGTGCTGGGATCTGCCAGGTCTTCTGCAGCTGCTGTGGCTTAGTGGCTTCCTTAAGGTGGAATTAAGTGGCAAACAACTCCAGTAAGGAAAGAGGGGGATGAACAGGAGAGGGTGGGCAGATCTCCCCTCATCTTTTGGGGCTCTCTGGGCTTTGTGAAGGCAGACTGGGAAAGAAGAGTGAAAAAGAGAAAGGGATGAACCTGGCTGGCTCTTTTAAGGGGAATGTTTACTTTACTTTACAAGATAATTCCAGGACTGAATGAAGATCACGTATGCTCAGGTGCCTGGCAGGATGCCCACTGCATGGCAGGGGTATAGATGCGGCTGTGTTTGATGCTCGCGGCTGAAGCTGCATTACCTGAAAACAGTCACTCAGGCTGTGGTCAGGAGGAGAAATAAAAACGACAAGCAACTTCCTAAAGTGCTTTGGTTTGCCAGGCACGCATAGCTATCCCATCCTGGTGGAGCCCCACAGTGGGTTCTCAGGTAGAATTATCTTTCTCAGATGAGGCACAGAGATTAGATGTGACAAAATCAGGACTTGAAGGCAGATCTTCCAACTCAAACACCTCATGCCTTTTCTGGGAATTTTCAAAGTAAAACACAGTTAGGAAGCTGATATGTGAACTAAAATAGTCAATTTTTTTTCAAAACTAATATGAAAAGCTAACATTTTCCAGATAGTGGAGAGAAATGAGAAAAACTGCTGGGTAGCTACATTATATTTGGAGAAAAGTGAAAGACAAACTGGTTCCTTCTGACCTGAGGGCTTGGGAAACCTTAGCAAACCCTGGTAAATCATACAGTCACCATTTTAAAAGTGAGTAGATCCCATTCCCTGATAGAAGAAGTGGCAGAAAAATGTAAAAGGACAAAGACTAAGATTTACTGAGTACTTATTTTGTGCCCAACATCTGACTAGGCATGTTAAACAAGTTACCTCATACACTAGGTTCTGTATTCTGTCTTAAAGAAGGAGAGAACTAAGGTTCAAGCACATATAGAGACTAAATGGCTGAACAGCAGTTCTAACCCAGATTTGTCTGGGTTCTCCAACAACAGGCTTACAACGAAGATTTGCTGGAAATACGTTTTTTAGAGGCTGAGATATGCTGGGACTTAGGGTGGCAAGTTCTCTCCTGTGGCATCCTCCATTTCCATGAGACTCCTGATGTCTGGATGACTCATCCACTGGTGAATGGCCAATCCTTGGCCTTAAAATAAGAAATCCCCATTGTGAAGCCAACGCATTCCAATGTTGCATAAATCCTTTTGTAATGATCACCTGGTGTCACTGGTCTATTTAAATGGACGCATCACTTGCAACAGGGCTTCCCTCCATCTGCTCTGTCCTTTAGTACCAGCAGGAAGGGAAGTAACTCACTGCCTTGGCATATCAAGTCAGAGCTGCTGGAGGTGTGTCTACTGACTGCATTCTGTAGTGAACAGGGAGAGGTGGGAGCGAACATGTCATTTTTGTTATCATAAATTCCCCAGTACACTACATTCTTCTTTCCCCTGCAAGCTCGGATTGATGACCAGCAGTTTTTGTTTTATGCAGGTAACCATGACCTCGATGCTGCATCTTCAAGGAGCTGCAGTCTATCTCTATGTGATATTTTCTGTGACATGCTGTGGAGGACAGAAAGTTAACGTATGCACCAGGATTTCCCTGATACTTCCTCTCTCCTACCCACAAACATGGTGTCTCCAGTCCTACACAAGTCTGAAGGGAATGTGTGTGCAAATCCAGGTGCAAAAGATCGACATGGGGTGACTATTCACTTATCAAAGGAAAGCACATGGAATCCCCTCCCTAGCCTTGCTGCAGGCTCATAAAGGGTCCAATCTCAAATGCACCGAGACAACAGCACCTGGGAGAGCTTGCTGGGATGGGAAACTGAGTGCCATGTTCCATCAGAGCAGGCTTTTGGACATTCTGTTCCAGAAACATCCTAAAGGCTTCAGAAACACCCCACAGGGCCAAATCCTAGGCTCCTCCACAGACCCAATCAGAATCTTCAAGGGCAGAGCCCAGGATTCCCCACTTTTGAAGTGTTTGATCCTGGAACCATTAAAGTTCAAGCTAGGAAGGTTAGTAGTTGACACCGCAGGCTCTTTTACTTATCAGGGGAGCAGACTCAAATGCTCTAAGCTCCGGTTTCCTATTGTAGAGAATCGAGATAAGCACAGCACCTGCCTCGTGGGGTTAGCATGAGGATCAAATGAGATTAGCACCTAGAAAGCACCTGGCACGGAGCCTGACTAATGCTCAGCTAGTATGTGGAGGCACTGCCTTACCCATCACTGAAGTCCTGAATTACCTCCGATCCCCTTTGCTGCTCTTTCCCAACCTGGCCCCTCTCAGGAACTCCTTAGGCTTCCCCATCATACAGCAACTAAACACCCAATACAGCTGGGGGAGTTGCTGGGGTCTGTGCAGGGCTGGTGGTTAAGATTCTTCAATTGTGACCTCTATGTGCCCGTTTGGTGTTACAGGAAACGATGACATGGAAAGAGGCAACCGATGCCCTGGTGACCGACAGCTAAGGACTATCTCCATCTCCTAGGATGGCATTCAGGACAGGGCTCCCTGGCTGCCACCTCTGGCTGCTCAAGATACTGAGGCGGGACTTGTCCTCCGCCCACTTTAATCCCGTCCATCCCCCACTTTGACCCCATCTCTGAACTCTCACCTTTGGAAGACTGACACACTTCTTTTTCCCTTTGGCCTCTGGGTCTGACCATCAGCTCTCAGAGTTAACTTTTTGACTCTACCCACTACAGACTGGCCTTAGCCTCCAGGATAGGCTTCACTTATCACCTTCAGGTGGTGCTGTCTCCAGACACCTGCCCAACTCAGCTCATTTGATGCTCGGACGCCAGGTCCCGGCCCTTCTTGGCCTGCCTCGTCCTGCTGCTCCCTGAGCTCCAATTTCCAGGGCAGGTAAAATTGTGAGTCAGCATCCTTTAACAACAGGGCACCTAGGTGGTGGTAATGAGAATGGAGGGGAGAGGCAGAAGGATTCAGGGGAATTTGAAAGACAGACACTGGCAGGAATTGAGCCTCAGGAGATGGAGGTTGTTCTAGTTTCATTGCTTATCTACCCTATAAGGTCACAAACTGTGTCTACTGCACCTAGCAGAGGGCCTTGTACCCAGTAAGCATTCAAAAGATAGTAGGTGAACAAGAATGACTGAATGAATGAATAAATAAATGACACTAATCACAGACACAGAAACAAAAGAGAGGAAGCACATTTGGGGCTAGGAACAAGGTAAAATAATCGATGTGACTTTAGACACATGGTAGAGGATCATGGTCCTCAGAAGTACCGATTACCAACTATTTCTGACTTTTCTCCTGCCAGTCACATGGTAGGTCACATTTGCCCACACCTGTCGAAGGGAGGCATGGCCATAAGACATGCTTTAGCCAATGATATAGTAGCAAAAATTTTGTCACTTCTGAATGGAACCTTTAAGAGATAATATGACTTCTGCTACTTCCCCAGCCCATCCATGCAAGTGTGCAAGTGGGCATTGAGATGAATCCTGAATACCTATAGAGAGCACAGATCCCTGAAAAGCTGAAATGGACATGCAATGTGATTGAGAAAAATAAACTCCTGTTAAGAAACTGAAATGCCGGGGTAGTTTGTTACTGCAGAATGATCTCTAGCCTACATAACAAGTCAGGGAGCCTAAGGGTTGTACTGACAAAGATGTCCATGCGATCTAGGTTTGAAGGTCAGGAGAGGGGCTTTCTGGCGAGACTAATGCACACTGCCAAGGTTCACCAGCTATGCTGCCTGTGACTGCAGCGCTGAGAAGGAACAGGAATGCCGACTGCCCACGCACTGTCCACTGCTGAATCCAAGCCACCAGATGGCCTCCTCCAGGGCTTTTGCCATCTTCTGTCTCTGAAGAAGGAGCACTAAGCCCTCACAGCACCCTCTGTCACCCCTATCCATACCACCCTTATGCTTTACCTGTGTTGTAGCCCCTTCCGAGGGCTGGCCAAGGGCGGTGATTTTTCCACAGGTTTCCAAGGTACCAGTCACTCTGGTTCTCTACCAAGCCCAGGACCTGCTGCCCTGTGAAGGACAGAGAACACAAACAGCTTAAAAGGAGAAGTCAAGTCATCTGGATCAGTGACTATTGGACACACAATATAAGAAAGGCAAATCGTCATGACAACAGCATTCATTCATTGCGAGTTTTTATTAAGTACCAGGCCTTGACCTAAGAGCTTAACTTGTATCAACATATTTAATTCTCACAAGTAGGCAGCCATTTTTATTATCTCCGTTTTATAGAGAAGAAATGGAGGCCCTGAACAGTTAAAGAATTTGCCCAAGGTCACCCAGTTAATCTGGGATAAGACCAGAATCTGGAAACATTCTTTCATTCATTCATGTATTCAGTCCCTAACTCATGGGGCACATAGTTATTGACTGATACACTAATCTTCAAATATTTCCATTCTGATATTTCACACTATATATTAATGTACTGGCTTTCTGGGCATGGACCGAGATTTTTTTTCTCACATCAGAGAAGAGTATTATCCTTGTGACAGCCCACACAAAAGAGCTACACTTTGCCCAACTTCTTTCAGGGTTTTTGCTCTCATACTCACGGCTTCCTCTATTTATCTTGTGCCAACAAGCATCATGCCCACATTATGCCATGCCATCACAGGAATGTTGACTAGGGCTGGACTCTGATGTTGGCCTAAGCCTCTGGTGCACCTTAGCAACTTCATGAGTCAGTCTTATGGTCAATCCCTCCGGGCGTTGATGTCTCTGGGCCATTCAAGTAGAGCATTAGACTCACTTGGCTCGTTCAGATTATGCCACCATGCCACTTGCAGAAGGCATTCTCTCGGAATTACCACCAACATCATTTGACAGCTCAGGAAACTGAGGCTCAAAAAGGACAAGTGACTTTCACCACTAGTGTGGGAGCTAGGATAGAAATCTATACTTGTTTGACACGAGGAATTTTTTCCACTGTCTCTATGCATTATTGCTTATTCTTATAACAAACATTTGAGGTAGGAATTATGAACCCACACTTTACAGAAAGGAAAACAGATTTAGCAAGTTTAAATAACTTGCAAAGATCACACAACTGATAATGACTGTCTTCCTCAGCTAACTGATGCTTTCTGGAGTTAAACTTCTTCTATCGTTGGCCAAACTGGGGAATAAAGACCTTTATGACCAAATGAAAGCCTAGCAGCACTTAAGAAAACACAGCGGTTCTCCCGGAACACCATGCTGGGTGATATAAAACCTCCTTGGTATGATGACAGCTCCCTGAAATGATGGTGTGTGGGTTTGGTGTAATTTATTTGATCAGTTTATCGAGTTCCTATCTAAATCATCACCTCAGCACAAATACATAAATTAAGAGGCATGGAAAAATACTACCACCCACTTTGTCATTGTATATGATCACATCTAAAACTTGTAGAATTCCTCAGAAAAATCTATCAACAATTCAGGGAGTGCAAGAGTCAATCAATTCCATGTGCAACAAGCTTGGGACATTCATGCAAAACAATTAGATCGGAGAGACACGGTGCCCTTGTCAGAAAAAGCTGTGTGCTGAGTCCTGATGGTATGACCCAGCTAGAGCCCTCATTTATTAACCTCACAATGAGGATGGGACCCAAGGGGGGTGGTGAGCCTCAAGGGAGACGGTGCATCATTACTAAGAACCCCAGGACGGTATCATGGTGTTTTTTGGCATGATGAGTGGTGTCATACACTCAGAACTGAAAGAAAGGGAAAAATCTTTCATTCAATTTCATGACAATTTCGGGTAGCCATCTGAATTTCAAGTAAGATCATCTTCAGATATCTGAGAGCCCAAATTCTAAACTGTGGCATCTCATATATTTTATTTTGCCTCAATTTACTTCTTCCGACAAATCATCTATTATTAAATCTTCTGCATTTCCACCAAACAAAAATGTATTGCTTTTTGCTTGTATTCTCGCTTCTACCTTGCTCATAAAGTGCTCCCTTGGGAGGAAATGCCCTTGCCCCCTGAGAACCCCCACCCACAATCCCTTCTCTAGCATGAGCCTTTTATGAATAACCCCAACTATTACTTTATCTTCACTCCCACAATAGATGAAAGGCATCTCTATTTAGTACTTCCTACTGGTATTTTTGTGAGCAACTGACTTGAAAATAAAGTGGGTAATACTCAGGCACATCCGCACCTCATTTGGAAATATCCATTTCCTACATTAGTCCAAGGGCAAGAACTATGTAGTATCTAACACATGGTCGGTTCTTAATAAATATCTGCTAAATAAATGACATCTGGTGGGAAAAATCTCTCCTGATTAGGAAGCCCACTCATGTCAGTGTATATCAGTCTCCCAAGTTTCTGTAGCTAAAAATCATTTCACCCTCACCCCATGCGTCAATATCAACATGCCTGCCACTCAGCTCTAGGAACTTAGGCATCTGCCTCCCTTGCCTGGAGAACTGTAAAGATGGGGTGGTAGCACCTATGGACACCTTTTACTCTGGTTGCTCTACTTAGGGTGTACACTCAAGGTGTTAATCTCCAGAGAAGGAGCAATTTGCATGGTTAACTTAAAGTCACATTATCCCAAAGAATACTATCTGAATTCCTCTTCTTTTAATTTGCACCTGGGCTTCATTTCTGTTGAAGTTATCACATAATCTTTTCACATACACCAATCTTCTTCAAAATTAAAAAAAATCCTAAACTAGCAACATGATAGTTGTAATTTTAATAGCCACTGGTTGAGAAAAAAAACAAAATCATCATCCATGGTTGAGAACTGCCATCTATAGGTATCAACTTTCTCCCAAACTTCTGACTCATATAACCAACTGTCTACATGACTTCTCTACCTGGATATTTTAACATACAGTTCAAATTTAATATGTTCAAATTTAATTCCAAACTCTTCTCACCCAAGCATGCCTTGCATTCTCTTTCTGAATTGAATGGCAGCTACACCTTTCTGGTTGTTCAGGCTATCCTTAATATTCAGGTGATCCTTCTGCCTTTGCTTTCCAAGTAGCTGGGACTATAGGTGTGAACCACCATGCCTAATATTTTGTAATTTTTTCAGAGACAACCTTTCACTATGTTGTCCTGCTGGTCTCAAACTCCTGGGCACAACAGATCTTTCCGCCTTGGCCTCCCAAAGTGCTAGGATTACAGGTGTGAGTCACCGTGCTTGACCATTCTGCTTTTTTAAAAAACGGATTCACAGCCAGGCTCGGTGGTTCAGCCTGTAATACCGCGCCTTTGGGAGGCTGAGGTGAGTGGATTGCCTGAGCCCGTGGGTTCGAGACCCGCCTGGGCAGCGAGACCTCATCTCTACAATAAATCAAAAAATCAGCCGGGCGTGGTAGCGCATGCCTGTAATTCCGGCTACTTGGAAGGCTGAGGTGGAAGGATCGCCGGAGCCCAGCAGGTCAAGGTTGCGGTGGCCGGGAGCAGCCATTGCACTCCAATCTGGGTGACAGAGTGAGACTCCAACTCAAAAAAAAAAAAATGGATTCACTAGCTGCAATATCAATTATTAAAACACAAATAAGAGAAAGCAATTGTGCTTAGCCTCTCAACACTGCTGAATTTTGCAGGCGAACTAGTGAACCCCATGAGCTAACTGCGTGCTGCCCTCCCCACCTCCCACATGGCCCCACTGCAGAAGTCTGTGCCCACAGGGAACCAAATACAGCACCATGGCCAGAGGTAGACTGTAGACTGGAGTCAGACTGCCTGCTTCCAATTCCCAGCCCTGCCACTTTTGAGCTGTGTATCCTTGAGACAATTTCTTATCTTCTCTCTGCCTTGGTATTTAACCCTTATGGTTGCTGTGACTTCAAATTTACATGACTTCACATATGCTAAGTGCTTAGAACAGAAGCTGGGACGATAAGCACTATAAACGTCATGGTCCGATTTTAAACGTCATTGTCCAATCTATCCTGCAAGCTTCTGAAAGACTGCGGTTTTCTTTGGAGGTCATCCAGCACAACAACTAGGCCATTCTAGAACTTTACTTCTCTAAGTATTATCTGAGGACCATTGGCTTCAGAAACACCTGAAGTTCTTGCTGAAAGTATAAGCTCCTGGGTCTCAACCTAGAAGTTAGTTATTAGTAGGAGGGCACTTTCCCTTACTTCTCTGGTTTCCAGAAGGAGAGATTTCCTGACTTTTTGTACCAACCTTTTCTCTCCCTCATGATGTGAAAGGAGATACCTGACCATCGAGTTTCAGAGGGAACGGAGTTTAATGCAGCCTAGCCTCATCTTCCACGCTTCTTCCTGGAATCAGCATGCGGACAGCCCACAGCTAATCTGTTCTTCCATGCTGTTAAGTTTTATATGGCAGGCCCCTTCCTGACAAGGCCATGGTCACAAAGCACTTCCTGTGGAGGCTGGGCAATTCCAACTCTGGGTTTTGGTGTCAGGAATAGACATTGTAGATGCACATCTAAATTTGAGTCCTCCAACTTCACCTTTGTCAGTAAAATACGGTGACATTTTGCTCTCATTTCTTGTTCTCCAAACTGGTTCAGTATCTGGAGAAGGTGTGTATATGGGGGTTCTGGCCATGGGGCCTAGTAATTTGCGCTAAAAAACCAACTTCCTAGGAAACTTAAGATGCACACGAAAGTCTGAGAATTACTAAGTGGACTTTGGAAGCTTTGTCCCTGCTACAGTCAGGGGTAAGGTTCACCTGTAGGGCAACTGGCACACAACAAACTCATGCTGGTATCATAAATGGGTGGTCTCCAGCGCTATGCTTCTCAAATACTGTAAAGGGGTACAGAACATAAACGCCAAAGCCGGACTACCTGGTTTGAAATCCTGGCTCCTCTACTTACTAGCTATGTGACAAGCTGGACAAGCTCCTTTGCTTCTCTGTGTTTGCTTCTTCATTTTTCTGTTAAAAGGGAGTTAATAAATAGTATGTACTACACTGAGTTAGATTCTTACTTCCTCTGGGCATGAGTTTATTTGTGAAAATGAAGCCGTGTTCTGTGCTTATTCAAATGTTGCCACCAAGTGCCTAGGAAATAGACAAG